TCACCGTGGTCATAAAGGAGTAGCTGAAGAACGAGACCATCACTCTCTAAGGTGCAGACATGCTGGGTCACTCTGCCTTGGATTTTCGCTCCCCCTCATCTAACTGGAACGATGAACTCGACACATTCTAAATAGCTGACACGAGGAATATTGCAAAAGTACAAAATACATTCTGAGATCTATAAACAACATTAAATCAATTTTATAGCAATGAGGTTTTTTAAAAAAAAAATTTAAACAAGAAATGCTTCTAGTTGTGTGTTTCTTGCGGGGAGAGAACTTGGGTTGGGTCCCAACGTGGATATGCTAAACCATGACTTCCTGTGACCCTTCTTCCAACGAGTCTCTATTCCACACGACTGATTGATAGTCTTGGTTTCTAATTGATTAATGACACAGGTTACAGGTCATTTTAGACAGACATTTGTGTTTGTGCTGCTAAAAGAAAAGGAACGTTCATTCGTCCACCTCAGCTCAAACCTGCACAAAAGTGGTATTCTACGGAGATTATTTAGTCATCCTCGAGGCCTGCACAATTAAGTGATTAATTCATCAAGTATGCTGTTTGGTTAATTAACACCATTATTAATTCAGGGGTAACATGTAAACAGATCTCAGAACAAACGTCTCCTTTTAGCCAGGCGGGGGCAGCTTTCCCAGAACTGTCCGTGGAGATTTCAGAGCCGTCAGGCTGAGTTACAGTAACGGTTCAATCAGCCGTTTGGTCAAGTCCAGTTATGGGGTTGGCCGCTGCAGAAAGGCCCCCGTGGAACAATGGGCGTGTCTTATGGGTAGCGGAGGCCCCCATCTCGCTGAAGACCCACTCTAATGGGGCTGCTCTTCATTGGCGTACCTAAAGTCCTGTTGGTGTCAGTCATGGGTCAATTGAATGGAGGGGGGTGGGGGGTCATTGCACAAAGGCTGCCTGTGCCTCACAGGGGGGGACCAGGTGTGGAAGCGTGGTTGGGGGGGGGGGGGGGGACATCAGGGAGGGTAATGAAAACCGGGCTGGGCCAAGCAAAACAGCCCCCAAGTCTCCTGAAGGTCATTCAGCTCTACATGTGGAATAAGTACCTCATCACCAGCTATCACTAAGACAATGAGAAACCATACAGATGAAGACTGCAATCCAGTGGTGGTTAATTTTTAGTAAAACTCTGGTTAACTATGTGCCTATGAATCCCAAAGGATGATCTGCACACTAATGTAAAGAAATGCACAAACAGCAGTGGTGAGTTAGAACAGTTGCACAACATGTTGTGCTGTCTAACTGGCGTGGACTCAGCCTCGCTGGGATTGTCCGCGGCGGCCATCTTGGTTTGCTCCTGTTCTTGGATGACATTTTGACATTTTGGATGACTGTTTTGGAGTAAAGAGGAGGGCTGGGGGGGGGGGCGTGGGCTTTCGGAGCGGCTCTGTGGCTCTGATGTTGGGGGCAACGGGAGTCATCTGACTCTGTTTAGCGGGTGCGGCCTGAACAGCTGCCACTGGGGGACAATGGTGTGTCTGTTCAGCGGGATCCCGCAGCCCGTGAAGTACGGGAGTACCTGGGGGGCCTGTGGTGAGCAGGATGCCCCATCATATGGTCAGGATGTTTGGGAATGTCAGGGGGCTCCTATCGCTTGTAGGAAGGGGGAGGGTCCTAAAGGGATCACATGACCTTTGAGTGCCTGTCCTGTCACGCAGTACCTGCTGTGTTATTAATTCATAGCTTAATAGGTTGGTAGTGTATGGGTAGGGGGCACTTAGCCATCTCTCCAGTTTGACTCTCCCTGCCGGCCCCTGGAGGATGGGCTCCCCCTTTGAGTCTGGTCCCGCAAGGTTTCTTCCTTCTCGGGAGTTTTTCCTTACTCACTGGGGGCTTTGGGTGGGGATGCTGTAAAGCGCTTTGAGACGATGTAATGTTGTGATAATGCGCTATGCAAAAAAAAATTTGTTTGTTGTCGTAAATATTACAAACAAGTGGATACAAAGTGCAGCCAGGCTTTCCTCAGTGCTGGTGTCCACCAGCAGGTCCTGGGGATGCCTCCATGACAGCCTTAGACTGCCCTTGGGCTGCAGCTCTTTGAGGATCCCTTCAGCCAGACGTTTCCATTAAACCGCTGCTGCCCATGTGGGTCATGCTGGGTCATCAGCCCCCCTACCCATGTGCTGGATCCAACTCACCACCAGGTGGAGATGGTTGGATAGCTCTTCTCCTCTCTTCACTGGAGTATCCAGCACTCACTGCCTCAAGTCAGAAAACACAACCAGAATGTTGATCGTTAACCTCTGGCTTGGGTGCTCTGGTGCCCTGTGAACTTATGAGCCTCCCTATGTTCAACACCGGTATTTGTTCTGGGCAGTCCATGGCTATACAATAGTCCAATGGCAAGTTGCCGCTAAGCTTTAGGTCCAGTAGGCTACTCTTCCCAATCACATCGTGGGTGGTGAGCATACAGTTAGACTCTCCGCAGCCAGCGTACACCACCCAGTTCTGAGCATGTGGGGGGGTCTTTTTTTGCTTTTTGGCTTTTCCTCACAGACCTATTTACCAAGAGAAGCCCTACAGAGAGATGAGCCTCGGAGGGGACATCTAGTGACCCCCCCCCCCCCCCCCCTCCCCCCCCAGTCTTCATATACATGTTCCTTTTTCAAGGGAGTAAATATCTATTTTTTTAAGTATGTTTGATCGAACATGGTTTACGTGAGGCATATCTCTCGATAATCATACAGTGAAAAACCCGTTAACAGGACATTTCAGGACACAAAATGTGGGGAGCAGTTTCAGTCAAAATGACAAAAACACTTCAGGCCTGACATTTCTGTGCCCGTTCACAGCTATAAAACGCAGCTGTCGCACACGAGCAGGCTGCCTCTTTTATAAATGTCTTGTGTGTGTTTTTTTAAAAAAGAATTTTCTATTGCAGGCACCGGCCACTAATTGAACAGTGCTGGTTTTTCCTTTATGCACAGATTTTTGTCTGTGACACTGCAGATGAAGCGGTTTATTCAGGTATACAGTAACAATGTTACAGTAACTGTGTGAGTTTGAGACTGGAGAATTGTAGATTTATTCAGTATTTCAAAGTCGTTCCATGCTTTGGGACTTATACAAGAGGATGATATTATTATTATTATTATTTATTATTATTATTATTATTATTATTATTAGGAATGACTGACATACTTTGTATTTCTCCATTGTAAACTGTACCCCCCCCAACCCTGAAGCCTGGTGTTGAAATGCAGCTTAAATGGGGTCCGAGTGACCCCCGCTCAGAGATCGAACCCCAGCTCTACATGCTGTAACGCACAGTTCCTGTAATGTAGCAATAGCGTCTCTCCAGAAGGAAGCCCAGCACCTCGTGCACGTCGGCTCTCTGCGGCCACGTCCACCTGCTCTCCCTCCTGGGGTGGGGACCTCCAAGGCCTTCAGATACCACTCGCAAAATTTGGGATGTCACTTTTCTTTCTTCTTCCCCCTTTTTTCCTTCTCTATTTGCTCACCGAAACGCTGAAGAGGTGTCCTGTGGGTAGACCTTGTACAATAGTGGTGAAGTGTCTGATCCCACACACACACACACACAGGCGCGCGGTTTGTGCGTGTGTGTGCGTGTGAGCCCACGTGCCTGGCCGTCATGCTCCGCAAAAGGCCTACATCTGGACTCCAGCAGATTCCGTGTTGCCTCTTCATTGACGTCATCCTGTGTGTGCCGGACGCTTGGGGTTCGTGCTAAAATAGCTCCGAGGACAAGTTTAGAACAGAACCACGCTCCCTGAAAAGATGTATTAAGCAACAAACAAAAGGCTCAGGCACCCTCCTCTTTTCCTTTTTAAGGCTTTAAGAAAGGAAACGTGTTAGTACTTTAGCTGTTCTGCTCGGCAAATTGTATGTTTCACTGTGTCTCTGAATGGTGTAACATTGTGTCATTGGTTTTGGGGCGTGGATGCGGCCTGTCTGTTGCAAAATGACTGCTGTCCACTTTCATCCACTTGACGGTGATCGTGATGTACAGTAAGCAGCAGATAGATATAGACGACCGCTATCTGCCTGTCTGTCTGTCTGATCGATCGATCTGTCTGATCGATCGATCTGTCTGATCGATCCATGCCCGTCTCTTCCACAAGTATAGAACTCACTGAAGTTAAGTGAGTCATTTCTGTTTGTGTAAACCACGCTCACCAACTTTAGACAGTGGACTAAATTGTGTACACACTCCTCAGTGTTAAAGCACCGTCCAGCTGACTAATACAGTCTAAAACTGTCATTCTTTTTACTGTGTTCTTTTAATGAGAAAACCAGATGATCATTCAGACATTCCAGCCACAAACATGCTAAAGCCATCGCACAAACACCGTCCTGTCGGTTCCCTGACCGGCGCTGGGTGGGTCTGGTTCTCTATTTGTATACGCATCTTCAAAGGCAGCACGGGCATCCAGGGCTGAAGCCCATTTCATGTGGTAAAATCATGTCTGTATTTCGTAGACGGAACTGCATGCCAGGAGGCCGATCCTTGGTCAAACCTAATCTGAAAAGGTTACCACAAGCTGCTCAAACAAAGTGATTGTACTGGACCTACCATTATTTAAAATCCGTCATTTTCATAGGCTTCTGGAGTAAGTAGGAATTTAAAGTATGCACTATGGATTTAAAATTTTTACGGATAAGCAGGTACTGCCATTTTTCTCTTTATATTAGTCTATTTACCTCCCATATATGTCCATAAGGAGTTTTTTTTTTTTGCATGACGTTTTTTTTTCTCTTTCCTTTTAAATGTCAGTGCAATAGTCGATTTGCCTTGTTTAATATTTGTAGAAATTTCATCTTATGTCTCTGCTGCTTTGAAATCTGAGACTTTCTAGCGCTCAGAAACTGCTATCCGGATATCATCATTTTTAGTTTCTTTTTTCCCCGTGAAACCCTTGTTGCATTTTGTATATGAGACACCCCCACCTGCAGGGGGTGCTCTTTCTCTCCATTACTTCAGAGTGTAACCTTTATTTCTGTTTGCCCACAGATGACCCAGGCACTAAAGAAGTCAGCAGGGTAAGTGTGGCCATCCCGTCCGTGTGCCGTGTGTCTGAGAAGAGAGAGGATGGCGATCAGCCGCTCCACCGCTCAGTGCATTAATCTGCGCTGCTTCACTCCCTATTTGATTTCTGTTACGGAGATAATTATAGAATAAGGAGAAATCGGCCTGTTGAAAATGTCTCAAGTAACCAATAGGATACCAGTAAGTTGTTGCTGAACTGAAATCTTACCTAAGGGTTTGTCTGGGGGCTCCTTGATACTTCAAAAAGTTTGTGCATCCCTGTTCACTATATAAAAGGCGTATATTCTTTTCCAAGACTTGTATGTTTTCATCTTGAGCTTGCAAATAAGTTGTCAAGTTTAGTCAGTTAGTCAAGTGACCCTGTGTTGATATCTGATTGTGAAGCGGTGAAAACAAGCAAGATGACTTATGATTTATGATTTGGCTTAAAGTTCAGCCTTCAAGCCTGCATTTCAGATGGCATTTAAAAAAGAAACGCATAGCTATTGTTTTAACTTCGCTTTCGGTACACAAAGGAGTCACTGTATGTTGGTCATTATGGTTGTGCAAGGCTAGCGCTTAGCGTCCCTCCTGCCCCAACAACTTTGCTACTGGTAAAAAAAAAAAAATTAAATAAAATGCGTGCGTATGTGCTTCTGTGGTTGTGATTAGGTGGGATTTGTTGCTGTTACTTAGACGCTTGGAGCTTTTTGGCAATTGCGGACATCCAGGGGGTTTCCACGAAGCAGGATTTCTTGCTTAGCTGGATAACTTGTGGGATTTAAGGTAGCTTGGCCTAAATGGACTTTAAGTTCATTCACTTACATTTAGCCCAGACTACCTTAAATACGAAAAGTCATCCAGCTAAGCACGAAATCCTGCTTTGTTGAACACTGTCCAGAGTCGTATAACAAAGTCCCCATTAGTAGTGGGAATCTTTAGCTACATGCTACATGGTCGTGTTAGGCCCCGAATTCCGCCGTCAGGTCAGGGCCCTCTGAGCTTGGCCTGCCTGCAGCCCTCAGTCAGGAAACAGTCAGGAAATATCCACCGTAGGCCAGGTGATGTACAAGGGAAACGGTCGGCTTCCAACGGCCGACACGACGACAGTGGAAACCCCTACTAGCACTGGCAGTGGCCCTTGGCAAAAGAAGCCCCCCCCCAATGTTTTGGATCCATCTGTTACTTTTACTTTTTCCCCCCCAGGGAATAATTTCCACTGCCATCTCTTTCGATTGCAGATACCTGTTTGCTCACAGGTTTTATCCACTTCATCAGGCCGGATGCAGTGTTTTATACGCGTGTTTGGCAACATTTACGCAGGCGAGTGGAAGGTCTAGGTTTGGCCAAGCTCTTCTGTGAGTGGCTGAGATTGTAACCATCTCCCCTTTTGGCCTTCATGGTGCATGGTACTTTTTTTTTTTTCTTCTTCAGAAATCTGTGACCTAAGGTTCTATTTTCTATGTTTTGAAGTTTATTTTTGTTGGTGGTTATGTGATATTGATCACACCACTGCTGGTCTTGGTGTTGATCACCAGTTTATTGCCCTGCCAGGGCTTTTGGGGTCTATATCGCTTACCGTGGAGTCCTACCTTCTGAAAGATGTTTCTCACATGTTCTTCGGTGTCACACTCGGTGTCCTCCTGTCCTTTTTAAGGAAGCAATTTGTAGTCGCCCCCGACCAGTTGGGGGTTTCGGACACGTTCTGGTGCCCATATAAATCCTGCGTGGTGCCCCGCTTAGGGGGGTGGGTGGGCCGTGCACACCCCCTCTTGAGGAAATTTAGTGGAAGTGGTAGCGTGTTTCCATGAGAGAGCCCGGGTTTACATGAGGGAGGAAGAGAGAGGGGCCTAGGGATAAAAGCGGGGGTGCGTTATTACCTCAGTGCGTCATCGATACGTCTGAAAAACAGGATGTGGGGGGAGCAGGTCCCCTGGGGCGGCGGTAGCTTCCCAAAGTGTCTCTTTGACGCTGTCCCATGCTGACCCCTTAGGGGGGGTGAAGACATGAACAGCCATATTAAAACAGATCTGATGAGAATCAGAGTGCTGACAGTGGGTAAGGGTGGTGGTGGGGGGAGGGGGGGGGATAGATGTGGCAAGCATATGATGGGCAACCCCTAGCTCACCACAAAAAACTTTTTTTTTGGAAAATGGTCAGTCTGTGAGGGGTTTTCAGCAAAGCAGTGCTTCACCGCAGGTCCTGAAGCAGAACATGGCTAACTCTCCCTGCTGTAAGAGCATTAACTCTGCCTGTCATCGGGTGTGAAGCTTCTGTATGCAAACTGACCTGTGTGAGTGGCCCCAATATGAGGCCGGGTGTGTGTGTGTCTGTCCAGGCTTGCGAGTTGCATGCTGTCTCTCTTTCTCTCTCCTTCTCTCTCGTGCGTCCAGCAGTACCAGGACACGAACATGCAGGGCGTGGTGTACGAGCTCAACAGCTATATGGAGCAGCGTCTAGACACGGGGGGAGACAACAAGCTGCTTCTCTATGAGCTGTGCAACATCATCAAGACTGGTAGGCCCCCCTGTGCCCCCCCCTCTCCTGATGCAGCCATATCTCCCCAGCAGGAAAAGCTGGAAAACTGGAATCACGATCCAGAGATTCCAGTAGTTTTTTTTCATCTGTGAGGAAATATACTGTAGACATGTTCCTCACCTGCTCAAAAGGAGTGTCTTCGTTTAATACGAGTTGAAGAAACAGCAGCGTGTTTACATAGCCCTTAGAATTCAATGTGCTGCAAGTGTTTCTGGGGGCTTTTTGGGTAGGGGGGGTGTTTTTCTGTAATTACTGCATAAATAAAAAGCATTTATAGCAAGTGGTCTTAATTTAAGGCTAACTCATCATTTCAGGCAGCCGTTGAATCAGTAACACGCAATTAAAAATGGTTCCTAATTAACGCCGGAATGAATCCGCTTCACCCATCCTAGCTCCGCCATACTAACTTTTTCAGCCATAATTCCATTTTCAGAATGTTCTGTCTATTTCTGAAATTGATTAATATGTCTGTAGCATAACTTACAGGTAAACTTTCTCGACACGCTCAGGTAAAATACTAAAACATTTACACACCTCCTGTGCTGCTGTTAGAGCGTAAATCAGCTGAAGACTATAGAGAAGGAAGCTGGGTTTTCCATGCTATTCCATGACTGTCTCCGCGTGCCTACACCGGACAGGTACATCCAAGGGAAACTGCAAGTTTATAATAGCTGAATACGCACATTTAGACAGTAAACACACATTAATAGACCATAACAATAAATAATAGACAACCAAAAACAGTTACAGTGCAAAGAACGTCAAGGAAAGCATTGAACAGAATTTCCCCTGGAAACATCTCCAGCGTGGAATACTGTTTGGGACGTGTAATTTATCAGAGCATCGGCAGGTGAAACTTGACTCTGCTTTGTCTCCTGAGGCAAAATACTTCTCTATGATTATCCAGCTTTGCAAAGTATGGAAAATGCTTTGGCTGTGAGCCTTTGTCACATGATGCCAAATGTGACCAGTATTTGTGCAAATGTTACATTTAGTGTGATGTCGTCGTTTGCCCTTCTTGAAAAAATGAGTGTTTAGTGTTATGTTGCTGCAATTAAATCATATTTCTTCGCCCTGTTCCGTAACACTGTTTTGCTGCCCTGGGGATGTTGATTTATCTGACAATCGATCGTCTTTATACAGAGACAGGAAATTTAAAACTGTGCCTTGAGCATGGGTACATTTCTGTAATTGATGATGTCAAATAGTGGGGAAATATGTGGAGTGACTTGTCAAACTACGAAGAGAAATGCGTCAGTTTAGCTTGATGCCGGCCTTCTGAGTTGGCAGAGTCGTCGTCCTCAGGGACTTACCTCCCTGATTTGTGCTACTGATGTTTAGGTCAGCCAGATGTAAAGCACATGCTGTAATGATTTGGCCACCTGTGACATTACCAAAAAAAAACCTCAATTTTCCAGTGGTTTTCTATCTAACTTGTTCTGTCTTCTTTTCACAGCCACAAAAGCTGATAGTTTTGCACTTTACTTTCTGGGAGAATGCAACAATGTGAGTGTTACCAGAGTGATTCGTGAACCTCCCAAAGATTGCAGCGGAAGTTATGCTCTGTGGCCCGTGACTAAAACGCCACCATCTGTAACACAAATGTTTCTGTTGAACTTCAGACGGTATCAGACTGACTGGAGTAGTCAGTCTCCAGCATATAGGAGCCTCTGATTTCGTGACATCGCTGATTAAGACCGAAGCCATGTTAAATAAGCAGATCCAGGTCACTCTCCTCCGTGGTCCTTCCGGATTACACTCGCATGCCTTGTTTGTTTTCTTGAAGGTTTCTTCATGGAAGGCTGGTACCACAAAGTCTGGGAGGAAATCATAAACCTCACTTGTAACTACTGTCCAAAAAAACTGCATTTTAAAGTAAATATTACTGCCAGGAGTTTGATTGTTAGACAAATAGTGGAAGTTATGCTTGGGGGGGGGGGTATTTATTTTCCCTTTTTTTTGTTAAGCACACACAAGCTTATTTTCAACTTTTTTTCCCGCTGTAATAAAGGAAAACATCTGAAGTAATATGAAGAGTATATGTGCGAGAGCTACAGCGTAACGCATACGAGTGTGATAACTCTCTCTCTGTTTCTCTCAGAGTTTGTGTCTGTTCACCCCGACTGGAGCGAAGGAGGGTCTTCCGGGACTCACCCCCTCGGGCCCAATCGCGTTCGGGACCACCATCGCCGCTCACGTTGCCAAAACACGCAAAACGCTGCTGGTGGAGGATATCCTGGGGGTGAGACTGGAAGGAGGGAGGGGGGTTACACTGCTAAAAGTGGTGGGGGGGCAGGTTTAGGTTTTCGCTGTGCCATATTTGTTTGGATAAGGAGATGGCCATGTGACATCACAAGGTTTCACTGTAATGTCTGCCACCTGCAGAGCAGCGGTGGGAACTGAAGGAAGCATGTAGGATGTAGCATGAGTTGGGGTAACTGACAGTGACCATTGTGGAGAGGAAACGGGGGGGGGGGGCTTAAAATATGACAAACATTTACCAACAAACACCCCAGGTATATGTCTGGTTCAGTCACCACAGTACTGATAAGACGTCTAACTGATGACAGAGCCTGTCACAGCTTCTCATATAAAATCACACCGTCACGTGCAAAGTCTTGCATATCTTACCATCCCTAACTTATGCCTATTTCCCATTGAGTTTACAAAGTCAGGACTATAAAGCGACACTGTAGCTTTCTGCATGAACTGAAAATAGTGGCGCTTTTAGAAAATGAGAAGATGGGCTTTAGGAAAACGAAAGGCTCAGCTCCATCCTGACTCTTCAGTTTCCTTTTCTATGCCATCTTTTCCAGTAGACCAGGGTGGAGATGTGCCCTGTGTTCCCTCATACGTATCCTTGATATTTCATTGGCTGATGGCCTTCCGGTCTATAATTAGCTTGTTTGGGTTGATGTGTTTTGCTTACAATGATGGAAATGTCACTTCCTGCCGAACGAAGGGGACTTGCTTACTCACCACGATGGTTCACATTCATGGTATCTAACAAATGCTGTTTCCCAAAATGACTTACAGGAGCAAACCAAGTACAAGTTACCATGCTTGGTGGTTACCTGCTCCTTTTCAATAAATATAAATAATATGTAACACATTCTGTTAATGCTTTAAGTGGATTTGAACAATGAATTATTTCTCAATTTTGCAAGTCTATAATAGTGCACATCTAAAAGTTGTCGCGGTGAGTATAACGTAATTTTCACATGGGTCATCACCACTCACCCTCTGGTGCTTCTTTTGGCGCCCCTGGCAGGATGAGCGGTTCCCCCACGGCACCGGGCAGGGCTCAGGGATCCGCGTGCACTCTGTCCTTTGTTTACCCATCCTCACTGCCATCGGGGACCTGATCGCCATCTTGGAGCTGCACCGTCATTGGGGGAAGGAGCCGTTCAACCTCAGCCACCAGGAGGTGAGCCGTCCGGGGCGGATGGAGAAGTGAAGCTCTCCAAGTCATGGAGTAGGTGGGGGGAGCAGGTGTCCCCCTTAGAGGTTGGAGCACATGCGGTGGGGAAAATGTCATGGATGCAGGGGTGCTGGTTGATGCTGCTGTTAAGAGTCAGAACTTGTCCAGAGCGGTGCTTTCCAACTGGTTTAGCCTCAGCACCACAGTTTTCCTTGGTTATTAAATCGCGACCCAAATTAAAAAAAATAAAAAAAATAAAAAATCTGAACCAAAAGTTATTTCAGAGAAAAATTGTAAAATAGGCCCAATAGTAGCGTATTGCCTTCAGGCACTTAAAAACCAGTCCAAGAGTCCAAAGAATTTTTTTAAACCACAATTCTGTGACCTGTTTTTGGGTCGTGACCCATTAGTTCAGAAACTTTCATCTAGAGTCATGGAGAAGTGCCATATGGTCATGGAGGTGCAGCTACACTAGTTGGGATAGCCATATGGTCATGGAGGTGCAGGTACACTAGTTGGGATAGCCATATGGTCATGGAGGTTCAGGTACACTAGTTGGGACAGCCATATGGTCATGGAGGTGCAGGTACGCTAGTTGGGACAACCATATGGTCATGGAGGTGCAGGTACACTAGTTGGGATAGCCATATGGTCATGGAGGTGCAGGTACACTAGTTGGGACAACCATATGGTCATGGAGGTGCAGGTACACTAGTTGGGATAATGAGTCATGGAAATGTGGGTAAAATAGTCAGGAGATAGAAGCAGCAAATGTGTCAAGCAGTGAGGAACTACAGCGTGTCATGGGGTTAGACAGCCTTGGAATTGGACCATCAGTTGGTAAACGTGGGGAAGACTAGTTTTACCTTAGTAATACTGTGTGCTGGTGGTAACTCCGCTGCTTTTATTTTCTACCCTCCAGGTTGCCACAGCAAATTTAGCATGGGCTTCTGTGGCCATTCACCAAGTGCAGGTAATTTTAATTTTAAAGGCGCAGTTGACTGTCATTCTCATGATTTCCGGAGCCCCATGGAAATCCGATGTTTGACGATCATGTTTCCCAGGGAAGTAGCATCAGTATATTGTCACCGTGTGTTTTTCAACGCTGTTTTGGGCTGCGTTCTCGTTATAGGTTGCAGTGTTTTGTGACTCAATGGGAGTGTGTAGTGTTTCCTGAAAGTAGCAAGGGGCATGATGCAAGTGTCTGAGCCTGAATCGTTGCTGGATTGGGCTTTATCTGTCAGTCAGCCTGTCCTTAACAACTCCTATATGCTGAAGAGGCTTTGCCTCTAGAGGTGCAATTATTGAGTCTCTGTCTTGTTTGTGAATAAAGTTCGTCAGTTGTAATGGCACAACATTTCGCTGCCTTGGCGTTCTTCTGGTCGCAGTGCACCTCTCTCCCTTGGGGGGGTTATATCAGAGAAGGTGCTTGTCTAAGTTGGGCCCCCCAGGAAAAAGCAAGCCAAGTTCCATATCTTTTATTTAGAGAACCATCATTCAGATGCCTGTGACCTTGGTTTACCGTGCATGATGTGCTCTTCAGAAAAATAGCATCCTTTGTGACGAAGATAAAACTTCATACGTCATTAGTTGATACGGCCCTTGTTTAGTATATAACTGATTGTCTGTTGCTTGTTATTTCCATGAACCTAAATAACTTAAGAGTCTTCCGACTCTGGTATCATAACTGGTTTAGAACTGAATTACCAGTGGAAAAACGTGTGGGTTTGGCATTGGTTCGGATCCCGGAGTCTTCGCACATACGGCACCCATACACGTGTAATTTTGTTTTTCGCAGGTCTGCAGAGGTCTGGCCAAACAGACAGAACTGAATGACTTCCTGCTGGATGTATCAAAGTAAGGGGCAGGCTTTGCAACTTCCTGTCACATGGCACATAAGTGGGGGCTGCACACTGGTGCTACAAATTGCTTCAGATCTGTTAAGCTGTGAGTTAAAATAGTATGAAGTAATAACTGGGGAATGGGGAACTGCAAATAGTTGTGGCACATTAACGCAACTGGATCAAGATAGATGTGTTACATTCTTTTTTTATTTTTTTTTATTTTATTTTTTTCGCCCATCTGAATCCCATTAATTAAGAAGTATGTATGCTTTTGAATGTTAATAATAGAATACTGTTATGATATCCATAATTGCATTTTTGAGGAATGTGAAAAATCTGAATTCCTTTTGTGTAATAAATGGTGTTCTCTACCTGATAGAGCCATGCTTTTCTTTTTCAATCGACAGGACATACTTTGACAACATTGTGGCAATAGACTCTCTACTTGAACATATTATGGTAAGTCTCTGATAATGGCTGCGGATTCAGTGGGGGTGCTCTGATTGATTTGCACTGATGGCCTAATTGAGTATGATGCCCACTTAGGCTTTCGTCTCTGCTTAGCTCTGTAATGGTGTTTGGTGAAAACAGAATTTGTATTGCCAGGTGTGTGAGATAATGACAGTGGATGTGAGTGAGAAATCTGCCTTTATTTCTGACTAATTAGTGGTGCATATTATTAAAAGAATCTTGGAGGACTTTTAATGTTTTTGAATCCAAGGGGACTGTACATTGTGATTTTAGATGATTATCAAGGTGAATCCTGGATTGAATGTTGACTGTATTTGATAGTGCATCAAGGCTCTTTACATTGGGACCTAGGGCTGAACGATTTATCGATTTCAAATCGAAATTGCGATTTGAAAGAACGCGATTAGCAAATAGCAAAGGCTGCGATTTAGGACATACATTATACAGCACGTCGGACCCAGGGTTTAAAACTGTTGTAAGAATAGTTTTCCAAACTCATACTGTGCTCCCTATGTGACAGTCGTTCTCACCAATCACAAGCGTCGTGCTCCTTATGTGACATAAATTTAACATAAATACTAAAAGAATAGATCATTTTAATCGCTATTACAATTGGGTATGGTCAGCTGCACGGAGTGAGACTTTCTGTTCTCTGTTCTGCACACACATTTACATGTATGTACGTTTTATTACCTTGTAAATCGTGTGTAGGGTTTGCAAATTGGCGTAACGTTTTTGATGCAGCTAATTTTAAGTTCAGAATGGAATATAGATTTGCTGTAAGATTTCTTGCGTGAGAGTCTGAAAGAGTTTGCAACCATGAACACGTACATTTTTTGTTTCACCTGAATTGATTTGTATAGAAAATAACCGTATACAGTTGTTAAAAAGTGGAAACTTCAACCAACATGAAATCACCAATAAACGACTTCTATTTATTCAGCATTTTATAAAATGCATACTACGTTTAAAAATTTCCAGCTTTACAGTTTCAGGACAGAACAGCCACTCTGTTATGAACATTACGGTTTTTTGAGTGTTGTTATAGTGTTAATAACAGCAGCTAACAACACAATAGCGCAAACAAAAGGGCTGCATACACCGAAGTCGTTCTTGCTTTTTCATTGGCATGGGAAAAGGCGGCTCTAGTGTTATTAGGAGGGTAATAAGCATTGCCTGCAAGATCGCTATTTTTCTTTTTGCTGCAGTTGTTTTCATTATTACTTTATTTAACTTGACACATCACATCTTTAAATTCTCATCCTTGTATTAGAATATAGACCAGTTAATAATACTGATGGTATCTCATGCTGCGTCATATGTTTTAAAATTACTACACACTGAACTGAAGCTTGACATAAAAAAATTAAATCACAAATCAAATCGTAATCGCAATTTTCTGTCAGAAAAATCGCGATTCGATATTTTCCCCAAATCGTGCAGCCCTATTGGGATCCCAGCTGACAGAATTCCCATCATACACAGACTTGTAACGATCTGCTGAGCAGCATTTGGGCAAGAAGTCAAGACTGAATACCTTGATCAGGATTAGGGTTAGCAAACTTAAGGCAGGACCTGACGACAGACTTAAGGCAGAAGTAGTTACGGTTCCTTTTTAGTGCCAAGACTGTCTGTATGTATCAGGCACATGTTGTACACTATGTTCCAGTAATCTGGCCTCCCGGGAACCTCAACCATTACATCGGCCCCACACCTATATTCTTTTGTGTTCTCCTGTTTCTGGGGGGGAGGGGGGAGAACAGATGAGGGAGTCTCCATTAAGAAGAAAGAGCAGATGTACGCATACAGACGTCCTTGCTTGTCTTTCGTGAGTTATTTCCACGTTGGCCTGTCCTGGGGGAAACTGCCACCTTCGTAAGCTTGACACTGTGACGGTTTATGACGGACCATTACCGTCTGAGCTGCCACACGGGTGCAACACCTGTGTTAGCATGCGGTAATGAGGGCTGGGTAATGAGTCGTCGTGGGACCGTGGAGGCTCCTGCTGGAGTTGTGGACCACGCCATTTCTAAAGACCGTCTCCATAGACTGCATACAAATTGTCATTTGTATTAAATTAATATCTTCAGATATAATGTTTAAACTTATAACATGATTACAATGCCTGACTTGCAAGTATGATTCACAAAGATCATCTTATTAAAAATTTCAAGTACAGTCGTCCCTCAGTATCCACAGGGGATCGGTTCCAGGCCCCCCCCGCAAATACCAAAATTTGCAGATACTCACAAGTTCCTTTTATAAAATAGCGTAATATTTTGCATATAACCTACACTCATCCTCTCGTAACTTCTCTAGCTTACTAGTAGTGCCTAATACGATGTTATACGGTATTTTTCAGGGAATAACGAGAAGAGAAAAAGTCTGCACTTGTTTGTATAAATAGCAAAAATATTAATTCATTCTCGGTCATCATTCACGTGGGTTCAGCGTAGTGCTTGGCATGCGGAAAATTCAAGTTTTGCTTTTTGGAACTTTCTGGATGTTTTTTTTTTTTTCTTGAATATTTTAGATCTGAGGTTGGTTGGATCTCTGGATGTAGAACCAACGGATACGCAGGGCTGGCTGTAATTCTGTTGCTTCTAGTCCCATTTTAAACCAGTTTATTTAAAGAAATACAGTACCCAAATCCAGCAGGATGGGCTATGTCTCTCTCTCTCTCTCTCTCTCTCTCTCTCTCTCTCTCTCTCTCTCGAATGTTGCTGCCAAGTGGAATTTCTTCCTACAAAGTTGTAGGAGCACAAATCCTGCACTTGGTTTGTTTTAGAAATAGGTCCTCAGAGTCCTTGTTAGCAACTTATCTTGATGGACACTGAATCTTGCTGCTCTGAAGGACTCCAGCAATATCACCGCAGTATCTGACATGATGAAGGTGCTGGGAAGGACAAGCTTTTGTTGCTCCATGACTCTTCACGCCGTCGTAAGCGGGTTGCCGGAAGACGTCTGCTTGGTTGCCACAAGTGCACTATGACTGCATGTTTCATGCTTGTTTGACGCATCTCTTGGGTTTGCGTTGCAGATATATGCAAAGAACCTGGTGAACGCAGACCGCTGCGCCCTCTTCCAGGTGGACCACAATAATAAAGAGCTGTATTCAGACCTGTTTGACATCGGCGAGGAGAATGAAGGGAAGCCCGTCTTTAGGAAGACCAAAGAAATCAGGTGAGTGCGCGAGCGGCTCCTGCCTGGTCTACGCTGGTCTGAGTCCCGGGGGGGTTGGGACACACATACGTGTAGTCGAGCACTATGGACAGAACGTTTCCTGTACTGGGGGGGGGGGGACTGGAGAGAAAACAGGCAAACCTCCAATCGCGGAACTAGGGGAGTTGATCCCTTAACCCTAGAGAATCCGGGCCAAGATTTTGTATCAGCCGACCAGTTAACATAAGAACATAAGAAATTTACAAACAAGAGGAGGCCATTCAGCCCATCAAGCTCATTTGGGGAGAACTTAAATAGCTCAGAGTTGTTAATCTTATCTAGGTCTGATTTAAAGGAACTCCAAGGTTTTAGCTTGCACTACACTAACAGGGAGACTATTCCATACTCTAACTACACGCTGTGTAAAGAAGTGCTTTCTTAAATCAATTTTAAAATGTTCTCCCGCTATTTTCCAACTATGGCTACGAGTTCTAGTATTTAAACTAATATTGAAGTAGCCATTTGGCTGAGCAGCATCCAGACCTGTTAGAATCTTATATACCTGGATCATGTCCCCCCTTAGTCTCCATTGCTTGAGGCTGAACAGATTCAGCTCAGCTAACCTCTCCTCATAAGACATTCCTCTAAGACCAGGAATCATTCTTGTAGCCCCATGTTGCACCTTTTCTAAGGCAGCAATGTCCTTCTTGAGGTATGTTGACCAAAACCGTATACAATATTCTAGGTGGGGTCTTACCAAGGAATTATATAATCACTTCCCTTGACTTAAACTCCACACACCTAGAGATGTAACCCAACATCCTACTGGCCTTTTTAATGGCTTCCCTACACTGGTGCGAGTGGGACATGGAAGCATCGACGTACACACCAAGGTCTTTCTCATCAGCTGCCTTTATTTCAGTTGAGTATAAAGTGTTTGTCACAGAGTACTCAAATGGTTGGTTGCAGCAGAATCTTAGTCTGGATTTTTACTTTCTGGACCTGAACTATCCACTGCCTGGAGGTACAAGCCTGCAGTGCTACCCACTGAGCCATAAATAACAGAATTAGATGCAATTTTCCTATGTTATTTCTGAATATTTGTGTACAGAGCCAGCAGCCATACAGAGTGCTGGGTCTTTATTTTATTAGCTGTGGAGCGGGACGCTTCGTCTCCTCGCAGCCGGCAGCGCGGGAGCCCGTTTGTCGTGCTGTGGTGGCATTTCCGTGTCCTGGTAGCGCAAACTGTCACCTACGGCTGCAGCCAAGTCGCCGGGTGGATGACGCCAAGGCCACATGCATGCTGAATGTGACAGACCTCCTCCCCCAGTGATGAAGACCTGCACAAGGGCCCTATAGCCTCAACAAAGAGGAGCAGACCTGCTGCAAATGGGGTTTGGCCCCTTTTAGCAAATGCTGGGCCATTACTCATTCATGCCATGTTGGGTGGGAGGGGGGGGGGGGGGGTAAATATCCACAGGCTGACCTTCATTAGCGTTCTGTCGGGCTGAGCTTCACAGCCTTGTATTTCAGTGTCCTGTCTAGGAGATTAGCCCATTTAGGCTTCTCTGGAATATCCAGAAGATCCGTTCAAGGCTAAGAGAGCATTGGGATGCTTGAGTTGTTATGGATACGGAAGGTCCTTTTTGCTTAGCCTGTTCCTCGAAATCTCGAATAAAAGTAGCTAACCCTATTATTAGCCTTCAACCGTCGATGAACGTAAGCTTCGCCTATCTCGTCCATCTTGAGTTTTAGTTTATCCTTTTGGAAATCCCAGCCGTGCTTTGTACTAAGCAGAGACAAAGTGCACTCGGTATGTTTGTAAAGGTCTGGACAAGTGTGTTAACACGTACAGATGGTCATAAACTCTGCTCGTCCTTTGGCAGGTTTTCAATAGAGAAAGGAATAGCGGGTCAGGTAGCAAGAACAGGAGAGGTTCTGAACATCCCTGACGCCTATGCAGACCCGCGTTTCAACAGGTAAGCCACACTCTGCCTCCTCATCCTGCTACATACAAATGACAGACAATTATAAGTAATTGCTCACAGCTTTCGTAGTTTCTGGACTCGCCTTAGCGTAATGGGTTTGTCCCAATGCCATTTCACACAAGCGCCTGAGCAGAAAACATGGTATGTTCCAGCCGTGGCAGCAGTGCGAGATCCAGCCATTTTCCTGTTTACGTTTTGAGTCCTGCATCGCTTGCGAAAACGTACAGCGTTCGGGATGATGTCATGCCACACGATGCTGCCTGAATTATTTTTTTCTTATGAGTTTGTGACCTCACCACTCAGCAGGTGACTTTTAATATAAGCCGGTGAAAAACCACCTGAATTCATCTGGATTCCAAAATAATGAATAAAACCACTGCTGTTCATTTAACGACAAGCAGCATGTAGCTATTAAAATATGCAGTTTAACTATTATAAAGCTGTTCTTCTGGGGCAGCTGAAGTTCTCGTCTCAGGGGTACAGCAGCAGGGAAATGGGACACTCGATGAGATACGCTCATGGGAATCACGGCCTGGCAGTGTGACACACTGTGCAGCCGGGATGCTTGTGTCAATCGGATAAGGACTCTTGTTTTGTCTCCTGCACGCGAGTCGACGTTACTGGGCCGTGGCGGTGAGAGACGAAAGCCTGCACCCCTATCTAGAGTTGCAGGTGGTAAACGCACGCCTTAGGGTTCAGAGTTCAAACTGCTGTTGTGCCTCTGAGCAGGGATCATGTTTCCACTGGCTGCCGGAAGCGGACGAAGTGGCCATTTTAGCTCGCCCCTGGAGTTTGTTCATTATGTAACGTTGTGCCTGTTCATTCTGACCCACACAGAGAAGTTGACCTGTACACTGGCTACACCACACGGAACATCTTATGCATGCCTATCGTCAGTCGGGGGATGGTAATAGGCGTCGTGCAGATGGTGAACAAGCTGAGCGGAAGTGCCTTCACGAAAACCGATGAGAACAACTTTAAGATGTTCGCCGTCTTTTGTGCCCTGGCCTTACACTGTGCAAATGTGAGTGCGGCTTCACTGCATGAAAAGTCTGCCCCCAAAAATCCAATTAATATGTATGTATTCGGGGGTCTTTGAGCCCTGAACCCCAGTGTCTGATTATGAAACACAACAACCTAGAGTAGCTTTATTTTGGTCAGAGGAAACAGTCCATCACACTGACTAAGCCCAATAATAGGTCAGGTTATATGTTGACAGCTAAGACTGAGTAAATGCAAGGTGCTTCCGACTAGTCTTTGCTTTGGTGTGTGATGTAACTGAGAGCTTTGACTGTGACACCAGCCATGAGTTGTAGTATAGGGAAACTCGAAGGCATGGAGACAGTGCCTTCTGACGCCTTTTGAAGAGCGGCTTGGTGGACATAGCGTCAGCCATAAGCCGACTTGAGAATCGCCACAGTTGGGGGCTCATGGGAGTTTTGCTTACACAAAAATGTGTGAAAGGCAGTACGAAAAATGATTGGTTCAGAGAGAACGCATCATATAGAGGAGGGGGGTCCCAGCAACTAGAGGAAGCAGGACCAACCAATCAGATGTATTGGTCCATCCTTGGTTATCTCTCTGAAGCAATCACTTTTCATTCTGCCTTCAGGACAGTAAAACTCTCACAAGCCAGTTGGGGCCTCCTGCATTGATTCTGATGTTACATTTACTTATTTATCTGATGCTTTTACCACAACTTTGGCATCTACTTATTGAACTACAGAAGCGTTATGACTGTGTTGTGACATGTTTTTGTGGTCCAACTGTGTCAGTCCCATTCATCACTTTCTAAAGGCACCTGGCACGTTAAGACCATGAACTACAGCCTTGCAGGTATAGAAATTATATTTAGACACAACTCAGCCATTACAGTTAGGCTGAACCACATGACATGCCCATCAAAAGTTCCTGTTCCTACCATTAG